TAAAAAAAGATCGCAAAGCATCGCTCATTAAAATTACCAATCAACTAAATGCAAACATTAATAACTCAATCCACTCGTAATTATATGAAATTATTATCATTTGAATCTTACTATGCAAATCATAAACTACTCAGCATAAAAAAAAAGCGTTTACAATGGTGCAAAGAAAAGAAAAACTGGAATGATGAATGCCACCAAATTGTGTGGTCAGATGAGTCACGATTTTCCTTTTCCATTCAGATGGGCGTACAAGAGTACGGCGAAAATCCTTGAAAAAAAAACTTAGAAAGTTGTGTGGTTCCAACAGTCAAATTTTGTGGATTGTCGGTAATGTTTTGGGATGCATTGGATGGGATGGTGTTGGACCTTTGGTAGAAGTTGATAACAATCTCGATTCTGATGATTATATTAATCTTCTTTCCAAATATTTGGTTCCTTGGATGAATAATCATTCTTATACAACTTTTTAGCTTCCTGTCATACTTTGCAATAATCATTCTTATACAACTTTTTAGCTTCCTGTCATACTTTGCATTATAGTCGTTGGTGGATGCAAACACACAGGATTCTAGTTTTAGAATGGATTGCTCAAAGTCCCGATTTATGGATCATTTAGATCGCCAAATTAGAAAAAGCAAATTTCTTCCGACCTCCAAAAAGGATTTAATTGATGCATTGAAGGAAGAATGGCAAAAAGTGCCTTTAGATGTTGTACGCAGTTTAATTTCCAGTATGCCGCGACGAGTTGCAGCTGTTATTAAAGCTAAAGGACATACACATTATTAAGTTATTAATATTTTTTAGACGAATATTATTCTAGAACTTTTCTCTTTCTATTCATATATTTTTAAATATTGTTGTTAAGTAAAATTTAGTTTAAATAAAAAAGAAAACTATAGATACTTTTTAAAATTGATACTTTTTAAAATTGAAAATTTTGCTAATAGTGCACGGTGATCCATCGTAGGTCAGTGTATAATTCAAATAAAAATATTGTTTCTTCAAGTATAATCTGATAAGACAAACTTTCGTTTCCGGAATAAAAATCATTATTATTAAATTGCAGTTTATTAAAGAAATTTACGATTGTATTACCGTTACATTGGATGCGCGATTGGCTATGACTATATATGATATACATGTATATGACGATCAATCAATAGTAAATTTTGATGAGTGATACCTATTCAAGTATGGTATGGTTAGGGTATGAATTCAGAGGATAGTTTATAACGATAATTAAGCATTTTGGTATGTTTATTTTTTTTACCATACTATACCAAAATGCTCAACCATACCATATCTAAATACGTAGTGTATAATCAATTTTGATCGGCTTCAATACTTCATTAACTAAGGGGAGTGACTGATATTAGCTAATATCTGTCACTCCCCTAACTACAGTACGTACGTATAAAAAACGATGACCCGATTTTAGATGTGGGACTAAACAACATTTACTTTTTAGGTTGTTTAATGTTAAATATCATTTGATTTCCACGCGCGTTATGATTACAAAGTTACGACTTTTTATTTACATTAACGTTAATTATTATCTTTATCAAGAAATCTTACATTTCGTTGACTTCGTTGAATATTCAAGTTTTTTTTTAATTAATCTGTAAAATTTGGCTTCGTAAACTTGTTCGTTCTGAACTTAATATATTAATATATTTAAATATTTAGTTGTAAAGGTTACACATCTAATTAATTATTTACACATCATATAAACGCCGGTTTCAATTAAAAAATGCATCTGGAAAATATCTAAAGAATCCTGAAACGACCGCCACCAATAACAACGAGCTGACTTAATTTCAAAAAAGTAAAAATTAGGATTGATATTCTTGTTTCACAAAAAATCTTGATTAATTTTTATGAGACCATTCATAGTTTTGTTACACATAGAATAGACTATCGAGCACCCCAGTATTGCATGTATGTATTGTGTGATTCCTACTGGTACATGTATATACAATTTGCAGATCCCAAGAATTTTGGATTTGTCCAACATTATCGTCATGTCCAAAGTTGTCCAATACTATGTCCAAAGCTGTTCAATATTACATCCAAAACTGTCTGCTTACTGCTGGTATAATACAATGGTATCACATATCCGAAAAAAATTGTTGACATTTGGAAGTTGATTTTTGTTTCATTATCGTTATATTCAAACCATCCATAATTATGATTTCTTATCAGTGTAGCGCATACAGACTGCAAACAAAATCCAATAAACCACAGATTCGTAAAACACGTCGAATAAGCCAACCGACATGGTTTGGATTCCAAAAAAACGGGTGGTGCTTATTCCTGAACGATGCTTATTTCCAGAAGAATACGATACATATACAATCGACCTATAGGTTAAAAATGGCGGCCGAACTATGGTGCAGGAACTCTTAATCGACAATATGTTTCATGTTAAAATTCTTAACTAAGTAAATTCAAAATTTAACCGATTATAGAAAAGGACTTTCTTGCATTTACTTCTTAGTTTAGTATTTTGAACATGAAAATATTGTTGATTTCAGAGTTCCTGTACCATATCAAACGTACCAATGGAATTGTAAACCAAAAAGTGACCGCTCCCTCAAATTTTCAGAATGGTTTTTCAAAATTTAATCCGGAAATGGTTAATTTATAGCGATTATCATACATTTGGTCGAAAGTACGGGACCACGAGGCCAAGCTTTAAATTCTTCTTTGAAAAGTAAAATAGGCGTATACATTAAGAGAAGTGTGATCCACACCATAATTTTGGGCCAAGACTAACATCAAACACATTTTTGACTTTTAAAGAATAGAACTCAATAATCTCTATTGTTTATTTGTTAAACATGGTTGGCTTGGCGCACCTATACAGTACGTAATGTAATATCTATGATGCATGTAAAAGAGTACGTATACATTAGCTGTACTGAGAATTCACTACATGAAATTAATGAAGTTGATTTGCATAAATTTTGTAAAGTACATGTTCGGTTAACGTTAACGATAACGATAACGATAATACATGTAATAACGAGAACGTGTGTGTTTAAATGAGTGTAACATTTTTTTTGGTATTGACGCATGAAAATGAATCAGCAACTGCTTTGAATGAGCTTGAATTAATCTTTGTTTTTTGATAACCATTCATTTTTATCGTTGATTGAATACTCAATTATTTAATTGAACTATGATCTGAAACGTCTTTTTGCAAAAATCCTTAAAAAACAATCTAATGATAAAAATAAAAAGTATTCCACTTCCCATTTCCACAACATCAGAAACCTCTTCGATTAACAATGTCAAAATTAATACCCATATCAGACGACGAATTTAACCTAATGAAAAATACAGTGATACCACTGAACGGGCTTTCAATAACATCAAGTCTCCTCGTGGTCGTTATTTATCTACTAATGTACAAATATTATCCGGCGCTGGCGGATCGTGTGTCGTTGAGATTGGGTGTAGCAACAAGTGTCGCAGACTCGATGTATGCTTTTATTCAGTTGTTGCTTTTCTCGGTAAACCACATAGGATTTTGGTGTAGCTTATCGGTATTTGATTTTTTCTTAAATTATCGTAAAGTAGAGAATACAATATTTTAAAAATTTGTTTATGCTTAATTATTAGGCCTGGTCATTTGTGTTTACGAGCCTGCTGGCAGTATTTTTTTCAGACTGTATAGCGTTAGCAAGTATCTACATCATAACTATTTGTATATATATTATGTTCCATTTGTCTAAAAAAAAACCACCCACTGATTTAATTGTATTTTTTCAGAATCTTCAAATAATTTTTCTGCACGAATACAAAGGACACCGAAACTTCGAAAAGTATTATTTCATTGGGGCAATATTTTTCGCGAACTTGATCTCCTTATTACCACTGATTCAATCGATGTACGGATACGACGAACCAGAACAGTAAGACATAATTATTGTTTCTTTATCATTGATGATGATGTATTTTAAATTTTCATTTATTAAAAAAAAGGTTATGCTGGTACCGGGATTCCGGCTCACGAATAAACATCATATGGCAATGGACCACACTATTCGGATGGCTCGAGCTTTCAGCAATCTATTGTGCGATAATATTCATCGCAGTACTATTGAAAGCAAAAGCACTACAGAAAGACATAAAAAGCGGAGAAACTTACAAAAGCACTATGAACTATTTACAAGATCCCGAATTCGGCGAAACATACAGTAACCTACATCAGCATCTTGATCATGGTCATGTAAGAAAACACCAAACGAAGCAAATAAAGACATTCAGTCTTGTTTCGATGATCGTCAGAAAAATTTCCTGGTACCCTGTTGTGCCGTTGATTACTCAGGCACCGAATTTTCTCGTGGAGACTTTTGCGTATAGTACACAGCGAATATCATTTACGTTATTGTTGTTGACTACGATGTTTGCTGCTACTCAAGGTGTGTTGATAATCTATTAAATACAGTAATTAACGTTTAAATTATGATTTGATTCGGTTAATTCTTTATTTCAGGATTTCTCAACGCATTAGTTTTCGCAAATGATATCGCTGTTGGACGTGGATTTCTAGCATTCAAAATATATTTATGGAAAAAATACGTGGAAGAATATGAAACGCGGTATCCCCACAGATCACAGAACAAAAAACATAAAAACAAAGATTCAGCAAGATCGAATGAAGAACACCATCAGCCAAAGACTACAAAAGATGTAATTATCCCCGAAATTGTAATTGAAGAGTCTCCAACAGATCTAACGAAACTAAAAGATAAAAACCTAATTCGGATGTGGGAACCAACTTTTCTTGAACACATTCAATATCAATTTATAAGCAAACTCATAAAAGTGTCTAAAGAGACATTACAATCTGACAGTCATCAAGAATCCAATGACAACCAGGCAGAAGGAACTGAGAGTATAATTGACTATTATTATTCAAATACAACAGTACATATCAACGACAATGACAATTTAGCACTGTCAACATCCTCACTAAAAAGTATTAGTTCAAAATTCGGAAGTTTACAAGAGAAAGAAAAACTGCCTGTATCTGAACCACCATCAAAATTTATCTCTCATTACAAACGACCTATAAAGACACGTGCTCTTTTAACACATTTATCCGTTCCTTCTTCATCCTCTTCATCTGTTTCTTCAAAAATCATGCCAAAAGACCAACGGGCAACCGGGATGCCGTCGTCGTCGTCGAGCAATACGCCGCCATATTGGAGCGAAGATGATGATAAAGTAGAAGATTACTCTGATATAAAAGAATCGGAATATGTGTCTGGAGATGACGAAGATCGTAATTCAACCTCTGGGTCGCTGATTTCCTTGACGTTCGGTGCTAAAATGGAAAAAGACGAAGAAAATGAACATGAGAACCAAGAAGGGAATAGTAAAAACATTGTTCCGAGTAATGTAAAGAATTCTTCAGCACCTCCATTAAAAAACAATAATGAAATAGATGAGAAGAAGGAAGAGGAAGAAGGTGAAGAGAATTGGTTTGACATATACTGTGAGAATGAAGCAGAGGAGGACAGGCATGGTAGTAGGTCGAACAAAAAACGGAGAAATGAACACAAAATTTTCGAAGCATTTATGCGGAAATTATAATTCATTTTATTATGTCAAATAACCAATTGATTCCTAACGTTGTACTGTACTTGTATTTATAGTATTAATGCCATCATTTATGTAATTTTAGCGGGAGGTTTTTTAATAAAAAAATGCTACAAAATTCAATAAATTTTTCTTTTTGATTTATATGTATTTTTTGTTGACTGGTTGATTTTTGGATGTCTTATAATTTGATTGAATACCAAACATCAAAATATGTATTCTAATGACAAGTTTTTCATCTTCTGTTTTCATAATGATTAATTGCTAGTTGCAATCATAGATTAATTATTTTATCAAGAAACTTTTGTGAAAATATTCAAATATTGGCTTAAATATAAAACACTGATCTGAAGGTAGAAATTACATAGGCTATAGTTAATACACTATAATCAAAGTGCTTTTCAGTCTTATATTTATTATATTTTGTTAATATATAAATACAATTGTTTTATTTAGCTATATTATTAATTAAACACAATTATATTATGATTATATTTTAATTTATTTTTAATAGAGTTGTATTTGTTTACTTATATTATTGTTTATTATTTAATTAAATATAGTTTATTAAATATTTTATATATAATTTTATTAGTTAATTAAATATAGCTATATAATAGAAAGATATTTGTCTACTTATATTAATTTTAAATATTTTAATAAATATTATTTATAAAAATAAAATAATTTTTAATATATCTTAGAAATTATATAATAATTTAACTATTTTCTTTCTATTATAAATAGATTTCACATTATATAATTTTTTCATTATTATATTTTCATGCTAATTTTGTAATATTTTTTTTAATTAATAATATATTAACACAAACTATATTTATTCAGAATCTTGATTATTATTTATAATAGCCAATATTTAAAAAAATAAACGATATATTTCTTTGTTTTCTCAATTTTAAAGTTTGCTTTTTGTAATATTAAATTCAAAACTATATAAAAACTTGTAATAATTATTTAAATATAAAAAATTAATTATTATCTAATTTGTATATTTTCTGAAATAAATATATAAAATAATTTTTATTAGTATTAATTACTGCCATTTTATTTTGTTTGAAAAAATATTAAACTTTCAAAATTAAAATTTTAATTGTTATTATTATAAAAAAATTATATAATATCGACTTTATTTTGTTGAAAAAATATTAAACTTAATTATTATTTATAAAAAAATTATAATTTAAAAATATAAAAAATTAATATTTTTTATATTATTTATATACTTGTTTATTTATAAAATTATTTGTAAATTAGTAAAAAAATTATTGTAATTTAAAAATTGATTTTATGATTTCTAATTGTATTCATATATAAATAACATCAAAAAAAGATTGAATTTTTATTATATTTAAATAAGATTGAAATTAAAATTTAAGCTTTTAAATTAAAAATTAAAAATAATTTAAATTATATAGAATATATTTATTTGTATGTGTTTTATGAAATTTTTTCAATTTAAAAACTTTGAAAAACTGCATTTTAAAATACTATAATGAATATGTATAATAAAAAAATAAAAGCATGTTAATGAATTATTTCTCTTTAGTTATATATTGATTTTTACTTTGCAAAATACATGTGAAATATAATTCATTCTAAATTTTATATAACAAGAAATATTTATCATTTTAATTTTATAGTCTTTAACTTGATTAAAATATTAAATTGTAAAGAATCAATTTAAACTTTACAGTAAAAATTTTTTTGCTTATTCAAAATTTATTTAGAATACAACTTGTTATATTTATTATAAATTAAAAGTTTGTAAATATAAAAACTAACCGACTTAGTTTATATACTATTTTACACTATTTTAACTTTAATAAATTCAATTTTTATGACGAAATCTCAATTTTTTAGACTTTTACTAGTAGAAAGAAGTTTAAATAATAGTGCCAAGTTCTATATGAAAGTGAATTTGCCGTATACCCACCACTGGTTCCTTACATTTTCTCCCAAAACTTGACTTAGACTAGGGGTCTCAGGATAGAGTTTGTGCAAACCAGTTTCGTTGAATTTTTTATGCTATCAAACCGGTTTTTACTCTATCGTTATGGTTTTATACGTAATACGTATTGCGTGAACTCTCGCCTGTTACACAACTTTTACATGTGCTCTTTTAATGTAACGGTAATATCAATTACATGTACAGTCTAACCATCTATGGTCACATCCTGAATACATACATAGTTACATTTTTAGTTCATTATAACGATAAACCATAGCGATAGCGATAGGAAAATTGACTTACCGCTGCATATACGTAGTCCTTATAATCACAGTTTTTCATACCTGTGACTATATAGAGGTTCGACTGTATTTTATTTCTGTAAAGATTTATAATGTACGTGATTGTTTCTTCAACTCAATACCTCATACAGATATAAGTTATTTTAATCTTTTAATTCTAATCTTATGTAAACATATCGTTGGTGATTCGACAACACCACCATTTAATAGTAATAGAACAATATGATGTTTCTACTAAACCCACTACATGGCATGTTTGTAAAAGCAACAATGATAATGCTTTTGCAATTAAAAGCTTAATGTAGCTCTGTTCATTTCTAAAATCGAGGTGACTACGAATGACTGTGCAAGTTCAATATTCCTGGACACTGAAAATTGGTTTTTTGTTTTTGTAGGTTGAGTAAGAAACAGAATTTTTTGGTATCAGAAATAGATAAAGACCTATTTTTTTTTTTATTTTAAAAAGAATTGAAAATAAAAATAGCATAAAATTTTCTTGAATTTGTGAATATATAGATCTTGCTCGATATGTATGCGATTTCTGATTTATACGACAATTGATTGTAATTTGGACAAGTGTTCTCATTACTTCAATGCAAACAATTTACTTGATATTTAATTGCACTATTTTATGGATGGAATAATGTTAAATTCAATTAACAAGTATTCTTTGAATTGACCGATATAGATTCTCCGATCAATACTCCACTTCCCGAGATTTACCAGCAGAACTTACGCCCTCGCTTGCATTTCAATCTCATCAGTACATGTACATGTACTAATTTCATTAGCAGGAGATCTCACTACAATTCCTCTACTCCTACTCCTACCAACAGAACTCTGTTGACTCCTATTACCGCCAGCTCTTGGATACCCTTCCATTTCATGCATCAAGCCTTTTCGCCACGTTCTTCGTCCAATTACGTCACGAATCATATGTATCAATTTCTGTATTAAGAATGCATTAATTGCAATTCCCATCACTCCAAAATAATATCCTGCTACTTTTTGTCCTTCTCGCCAATCTAAAAACCTGTATGGAAATGTGTTATTTCTAAATAACGAGCGAAAAAGAGTTATTAATTATATATCTTTAATAATTTATATTATTTATGTGTCTTAAATAATCTCTTACATTGCATAACTTATCCACGTCTCAAATAGATAAAAAATCAAAATTGTCAAGACGAAAATTAGATGGGATGAAACTAATGGCATTCTACTTAACACCACTTCCACAATTATCATGAATAAATCAACACTGTGTATTGAGATTTCGTGAAATGTTAACAAAGGTGGTGAAGAATTGAATTCTTCAATACGAGATGGAACAAGGATTGCCCAGTAAAAAATTGGTATTAGAATGCTAGAAAAATAATAAATAAATAAATTCTTTATACAGTATTATAGATTAATCAATAGACTAAAAGAAATGAAGCCTACTGGTATACTACAACGACATCATATAATATCCAAAAAGCAATCGTCAAAGCTCTTGGTTGAGTCGAAAGTGATTTTGGCTCATCATATATCACAAAGATCAAAGAATGAACAACTGCCACCTATGATTAAAATATAAATAATATTTAGCTCAAAATTATGGTTTCTCGTCAGTGCAACGGCGCATACAAACCGCAAAATACACTGTTAATCCAATAAATCCCAGATTCGCGAAATACGTCAAATACGTATGCAATCGACCTCTTCCGAATTCAACATATATAGATAAAGCCAGAGTAATCAAACTATAAGTTAAAAATATCGACCGAATGATTAAAAGTACCAATGGAGTTGTAAACCACGAAGTGACTACTCTCTCTAAATTATGTAATATCTTTTCAAATCTCCAGAATGATTTTTCAAAGTCTGGAGATGGCGGTGCCATTATATATTATTAGACTGATACTGGGTATTTTATATTTATTGGTAGATTTAGATTATGAAATGAAAAGAGTAAAGACGGTTACGTCCCTTAGCGTTAGATAATTCATGATTCATACGCTCCATGTATACGTACAATGATATACGTATATTAATATACATGATTGTTATGAGAATTGAAAATACTGTATAAGATGTGCTAACACTGACGTAACATGTGTTTTTAAGTGTAATGTAACAGTAACATTTCACTAAATGCGCATTGCGTACTTATTTGGTCAGGTATTCTTTTTTTAGATGGAATGAACGTGATTCTTAAATGAATATCAATTAATTTAAAAAAGCTTGTTATGTATGTACGTATTGGATTCAACATTGACGTTAATAAAATAAGATAGTTTGCACTATAAATAACATCGAAAAAAAGATTTAAATTTTCAACCTGATTTTATAATTTCTAATTGTATTCATATTATAGAAAATTTATTATACATAAATAACATCAAAAAAAAAGATTTGAATTTTATTATATGTAAATAACATTGAAAAAAAAAGATTTAAGCTTTCAAAATTAAAAGCAATTTAATTTATGTAGAATATATTTATTTGTATACTCTGTGTTTTTATTATGAAATTTTTCGGGATGGTCAAAAAATAAAATGTGTTAATAAATTATTCCTCTTAGTTATATATTAATTTTACTTTGAAAAATATATTTGAAATATAATTTACTCTGAATTTTTATATAGGAAGAAATATTTATCATTTTAATTTTATAATCTTTAACTTGATTAAAATATTAAATTGTAAAAAAATGCAAATCTTTAATTATATTAATATTTAAATGTTTATACAGTACCGGACAGCAAAAGACATCCACTTTTTAAATGATGTCACAAAAAGTGTTATAACTTAAAAAGGAAAGACAATATAATTTTCTTTCTTGAGATATAAATTTGTGAATTACAATTTTGGCGTTTACTAATAAAAATAAAGAATTCTGATTGATCAGATTGATGATTATGTATAAAATCTACAATAAAAATTTGTTGTTATGGCGCAGTATTGGATATCTTTTGCTATCATTTACTATATGTATTATAAAACTCAAAAGTAATAATTATATATGATAGAATTAATTTATCTTTTTTTATAGTAATTGAATAAATGAATTACTAATTATTAATTGGTAACTAATTGAATATTATATTAATTGAATAATCATATTAATACTGAAATTATCAAATATAAAAAATAAAACATATATAGTAATAATTATAAAAGAATTTAATTATATTAATAAATTTTATATATAATTTTATAATTTTTTTATTTATTATATATTATATATTATTTTTTTATTGCTATAGTATAGTCTTACTTACTATATTATATATTATATATTATTATTATTATTTGAAATGCTGCAATTAGTGTTCCTATGAACTGAACCGAACGGGACTTTGACTTGAGTTCAAGAAAGATTCGAAGTTCGAACCGAACTCGAACTGAACTGTTATACGAGTTCGAGTCTGGTTTGAGTTCAATTAAAGATCGGCATATAGTATCATATACCGATTTGTAGCTCTAAATATAAGCTACAACTTTACTATAAGTACAATTTATAGTATTTAGTAAGAATTAAAAGTTTACATAGTGATAACTAAAGTGTTTTTATTTTTACGT